GACAAAGGGAAGGACAAAGAAAGCCCTTCTTTTTGCATTGGATTTAAAAGGCCTTCGCTGATATAGATATTTTTGTTTTATAATCTATTCTGTAATGTCTGGGAGCAATTTCTTTCTGTGACCTCCCCTTCCAGTGGCAGGCACGGTTATCTGTTTCCCAGTGGTAGTGCGTGGAGTGTCTGTCTGCAGAGCATCTGTGTGGTGATAAGGCGCGGCAGTTCAGGCCACTTCATCTTTTGCACCATGCCCCTCACCCAGATGCATCTTATTCTTTTATTTTTCCCTGTACACTTGCTCTTGAACTGAATATTGCTGCCTTGTAACTAAGTACTCTATTGTTGAGGTTAAAATGCTTAGAGATATCTGATTCTAATTTTTCACAGAAAATGCCACCTCACACATTCAGTTAATAAATAAAACAACTGGGTCATAGAGAGGCTATTGAGGAAGAGTGGAAAGGGATGAAGTAGGTTTGAGTCTCCGATCGTGAAGCTCAAAAACACTGATTGCTTTTTTATTATTTTGCCAGCATACCCTCTTTTCAGACATACAAATATGTTCATTGAATGTGTATAGTCACAAGAGACAAGGATGATATGTATTTTAAATACATATATTACAAGGGTCTTTCTTAGCAAAATTCATGTGTACCCTGCATTTTGAGAGCTTCTTCTAGCTGTTAGCCTGGCTGAATAATACACAAATTTATAATTCATGATACTCAAGAGGGAAAACGAGCAAAATAATATCATAGGATATGAACCTTGCCTTCCAGAGATGCAAATTCACCCATGCTCTTTTTATGACTTGGATGGAGTCACTTAGTCAAAATAACTTTAGAGTGGAGAATGCCCGAATGCTTTGGCACCAGCAAAGTTGTGCGAGGTTGCCAGTAAGATTCTTATATTCCAAATGCATAGAGATGGGAGTTAGCATTAAAAGCCATTAGCTCATGCCCAACATTTGGGATGTCCATTCACTGACAGTCCTCTGATACTACCTTTCAGTCTGGATTCCTTTAAACTTGGAGTTGAGGAAATGCTACTGAATCTTGGCTTATTCAAGGGTACTCTTATAGAATGACATGTACAATTATTAATCTCCCTTAGTCCTTCAAATAAATGTTATTGTCACATGCCACTTTCTTTGAAGCACCATATATATTAGGTGGTGCAACAGTAATTGCAGTTTTTGCCATTGAAAGTAATGGCAAAACCCATAATTACCTTTGCACCAACCTAATAGTTAAAAGAATTCATCATAAAACAGAAAACATATTAACCAGTGTTTTACTTATTCACAGTTATATAAAGAATGGCACTGCCTAAAAATGTTTCTATTTTGATTTGAAATTCATAGCAATGCCCATTTCTAGAAGAAACAAAGGGTGCCTATTCTAGCAGCTTATGGTCCTAACATGAGATTAAAAGTTTATTCTTACTCCTACTAGCCCCGTGGTATACACCACTCTATACAGCAATGCACACCTGTAGCACAGCATGTTATGATCCTAAAAGAGCAAAGAAAATGGGAGCTAGACCATACCTCAGACACTCTCATCCCTTTCCTTTCCCGCTTACTGAGGCCAGTGACATTTGGAAGACCAGTGTGTAATTTTCCACATTGGACAGACTTGGTTGTATTCTTGGTCAACATTGACAATTCTCTCCTTTTTAAAATGGATGTATGGTATCTAGCTCACAGGGAAGGTGTGGAGATTCACCCGAGAATACACATAAACAGCTAAGCAGAATATCTAGCCTTTAGAAGGTCTTTATGTAACCAGAACTTATTTTTCTCCTTGTATCTCCCATGAAGGCATGGACATTATCAAGCCTTCCCTGACACACATGAACAAGGTAGGTCAATCCCACCCCAAGCTCAAGATAATCTGGAATCAGTACTGTGTTGCAAAGCATATAGCTATGGCACTGACTCTGTGTTTTATGCACAGAGGAGATCAGAGACATAACATGGTTTTAAACCATAGGATGTACTTTCTTTTCATGATACTTCAAAGTCTCCCACTGCCACTAGCACCAAAGTCTCAACTTCATGAATTGCCCATATAGATAGACTGTGATCAGCCTCTCGCCCCCTTCATCCCAAAAGCTTTTCTTCAGTGGAAAATCTTCCTGCAAGGGAATTGTACCTCTAGAATGGGCAAGAAAAAGCAGAAGGCATGAATCTGTATAGAAATGAGAAGCAAGGGTGGCTCCCTGCTTGGATGAGCTAGGTCTCTGTGCATGAAAGTCTTCAGTGTTTTCCCGCACTAGACTGATAATTGTCTACCTATATGGGCAATTCATGACATTCAGACTTTGGTGCTAGTGTCAGTGGGAGACTTTGAAGTACCATGAAAAGAAAGTACATCTGGTTTAAAACAATGTTATGTCCCCAAGCTCCTCTGTGCATAAAATGTAGAGTCAGTGCCATAGCTATATGCTTTGCAACACAGTACTGATTCTAGATTATCTTGAGCCTCGGAGGCGGGCACTGACTTACCTTGTTCATGTGTGTCAGGGAAGGCTTGATAATGTCCATGCCTTCATGGGAGATACAAGGAGAACAAACAGTTCTGATTATATAAGATCTTTTAAAGGCTAGTGCATTAGTTGCTTATTTTGGTTCAAAATCTTAAAAAATGTGAGAGGAATCAGATGTTTTACTTTGAGCATTTGAAACACCTGTGGCAGAGGAGCTTGAAAAGAATGTGTCACTTTTCATTGTCTGATTTTCTAGCCCTTTGTCACAAGGTGATTTTATTCTTACGCATCTAATGACCAGGAGAAGTCATGATGGTTTCATTAGCACCTGTGGCCCCATATGGTGCCTCAAGTGTGACCAGTATAAGCATGCTAATTTTCTTAAAGGAAGCAAAATTAAACTGTGTTTCTTGTTAGAGGTGGGAAACAGGTGGTCAGCCTTATCATTCTCACTAAACCTTATGGTTTCCAGATTTAAACCACCTTGTGAGCTCTGTTAAAGGCTGTGTAATGTGGACTTTGTTTAGTCAACATGTAATTCACTGTCCTATTTCCTCTTCAGTGATTAAAGTGAAAGTCAGGCTCTTCCAGGAGTTTTCCAGTGTAGCATAAAAGAAAGAGACAGTGGAGGAGAAATTGTACTTATTGAAAGAAATATTAGCCAGATGACTCTGTGAGTGACTACAGATGACTGTTCCCTAAGTCTAGCTATTTCTTTTCTTGTAAACTTTTTTTTTCCTGTTTCCATCCCCTAAGTCAGTATCCAGAACTTTTTGTGGTTCTTCTATGTGTTTGATTTTCAAGCTTTGACTCCATCAGGATGAAATTTCCTAATTTATGCAGGAGGAAGAGCTTTATTCAGCAAACATTCAACAACAAGGTTTGATTGCCTGTTGCATGGTAACTGGCACCAAGTGCACCAATGCACCAAAACAGCAGGAGTTGCAGTAGAGAGAGAGTTTAATCATCCTAAGGGAACTAAATGAGGAGATGGGAGGGAACCTCAAACCCACCTTTCTGAGGAGTTTTGGACTGGAGTATTTAAGGGAATTTTGGTGGGGAGGGATCTGAGGAGCAGGGGGTTGCTTATAGGGTGTGATTAGGGATGAAATCATAAAGATGTAGAAACTGCATTTTTTCATTGAGTCAATTCCTTGGAGGGGATCTTAAGACAGGCTGGCATCACTGGACCCATTGGAATATAGAATCTGGAAAATATCTCCAATGGAGAACTTGAAGTTTCTTAATGTTAAGATGTTATCTATAGAAATAATTAAGGAAAGTTAGGACCTTGTGACAGGAGCCATGTGACTTTTTGGCAGGAAGCAGCTATAAGGAAGTGGGTTGTTGGACAAGCTGGTTAATGCTTAGCTTTGCTTCTGGTCAAAGCTTAGGCTTTTACTTAAAAACTACCCATTCGGTTGCATTAATTTCATGGTGATGGCTTCACAGGCACTGTGTTAAGTGCTCACACTGCATGAATTCTTTCCATCTCTATGACAGCCACGTGATGTAGGTGCTCATAATGTCTTCATCTATAGATGAAGAAGTGCAGAAGTTAAGTAATTTTTCAGATATACAGGTGGGATGGTCAAAGCCAAGTCTGGACTGGACTCTATATGCTTCCTCCATCCCTACATCTGCATAAACATGTTCAGACAATGAAACGAAACAATGCTTGTAAAGTATCCAACCCAATGACAGGTGTAAGAAGGCAACCACAAAATGGAAATTACCTTTTTCCCTGGAATAGTCTTATTCCTGGGACTCAGGGTTCTTGCCTCTAGTCTGTGTCCTCTGTGATTCATTCCTTTCACTATATAAGTTTTGAGCTCTTTATACTCACTTAGATAATCACATTACCATTACCTGGAGTGACGTGCAAAGCCATGTTCTTCAACCAGGAGGCTCCATCTTTCCTCAGGCAAGCCTTATTCTTAATCATTTTCTAACTCAAAACCTGTAAGCTGCTTGCAGAGGTTGCTCAATACCTCCCAGAACCTGTATTTTCCTTTCATATGGCAAGCATTCAATCAATAATTGCTGTTTGATCAATATGCCAAATGTAACCCTTCATGTGGATAAGTTTAGAGAGTCTTTTCCATTGAGTCTTTTTCATTCTTTCCTGCTATAAAATCAACTATGAACAGTTGATGAACAGACTTGGCTTTGACCATCCTATCTGTATATCTGAAAAATTACTTAAATTCCCTGTACTTCTATTCCTTCATCTGTAGAAAGAGACATTATGAGCACCTACCTCACATGGCTGTCATAGAGATGGAAAGAATTCATGCAGTGTGAGCACTTAACACAGTGCCAGTGAAGCCATCACCACGAAATTAATGCAACTGAATTGGGTAGTTTTTAAGTAAAAGCCTAAGCTTTGACCAGAAGCAAAGCTAAGCATTAACCAGCTTGTCCAACAACCCACTTCCTTATAGCTGCTTCCTGCCTGAAAGTCATGTGGCCCCTGTCACGAGGTCCTAACTTTTGTTGGAAAATAGTTTATTTTATAACAGGAAAGAATGCCATAGAGACAGATCACAGGAAGGAAAAGAGACAAAATCTTCACAAATGGGAGTGGAGACTTGCACTTGAAGAAAAATGTTGCCTTTCTCAGACTTTGTTAGGTGAGATTCAGTCTCTAACTTAGTGCTTCACTGTCTCTGTTCCTCACAGCATGGGTTAATCTGGTATGAGATACAAACCTATTTCAAGGCAGGGACAAATATAGGCCTTCAATTTTTTTTTTCTAATTTGGTATGGGTTATCTATAGAAGTGTAAATGGTTCACAGCAAGAGACTGCTTTTCAGAGAAGTACACGTAAGATACAGAAATCTCTAGCTGTGTCTGTACCTTAACTTTGAAAAAGAGAAACTTTTAAAAGGTAAGAGCTGTTTTTCCTAAAGAGTCATTTTAGAAAATGTTCTAGATCTTCCTGTACATAATAAGGCTTCTAAGCATTTGGGGTTATTTTAAAAATTGGATTTTAAATATTTTAAACATTAGGATTTCAGAATATTCAGATTTATTTTATTCTACCAGCATTGCAAATACAAAGGCAACCATGCAGTACGAGAAGAGAACAGGATAAAATGAACATGGACATGACTTTAAAAAAAATTCAAAGTTCAATGACCAAATATAAATTTGCATTGTAATTTGTAAAGAATGTAACTGACATTAAAAAATTTTCTGGCATGTAAAACATGGGGCATATTCCCAGAATGCAGAAAAATAGGACAAATAGAATAAATTTAAAAAGAAATTAAAAATACAAAGGACAAAGAAAGGAATCAACTTATAATTAGTGTTCTTGAAGATGATTTAAAAGCAAATGGAGCAGAAATAATATTCAAGGTTGTAACAAAAGAAAACTTTTCTACAGAAAAGAAAAAACACAGTTGCAGAGTTGCAGATTAATTGGGTTCACTTTGCTTTGAGCAAAATTTAATAAAAATAGAACCAAACCAAAATGTGTGGTATCATCACAGTTTAAATAAAAGTGAAATATCATCTATAATCACCCTGGCAAACAAAGTATGTGGCATGGGATGGAAGTGTTCCTGGGCTGGCTCCAACTTCTCTGTAATACCAAACAATGAAAGATCAAGTAACGTCTACAGAGTGTTGACAGGTTAGGATTCAGGGTTCAAGAATTCAACCCCAAAAAAGATTTTCCTCAAGCATAACGTCAATAGAAAGAGACGCTCAGGTATGCTGTGGTTTACAATATATACCACACAAATAGCTTTTCTGAAAAAAATTACTTGAATATATATTCTAGTTTACCAACATATAGATTAAAATAATGACCCTGCTTATAATCCCCTGATTCAATTATTTATTTAGTCAGTTTTCTAGACAATTATTGAAAACTTAATTGTAATGGAAAGAAGGAGCTCAACATAATTATTGAAAAGGAATAATAGTGAAAATTACAATTATTTTAGTAACCACTGTTTTGTTATAGATGCCATTCACTATATTTTGAAATTCACATCATCTATTTAAGTCTCATGAGTTAAGCCTTATAGCCCGAACTCACAGAGAAAAACAGAGTTGGATGAAGTCATATACCTAAGATGATGTGGAAATTTTGTAAGGGATGCAACACAGGCATCCTGTTTCCAATATCATGACTCATCCTCAGATTTGGTCAAAATCCAGACCAGCAGTTTACAAACGTTTCTATGCTTTAGAATCATCTGAAGAACTTCAAAGACAGTCATGCCTGTGTGGTCCCCCACCTCTGAGATTATGAATTGATTTTCTGGGGTGCCACCAGGTGTTTGGAGTTTAAAACAAATCCTTGGATGATTCTAAGGTGCATACAAAGTTAAGAACCATGAATTTAAACAATCATATCTGATTTCTTCTACAAAGACTTGGAAATGGTGTAAGCGGAGCAGAAAGAAGTTTAAATCTGTCACTACTCATAGGGAATAATCAACAGTAATTGCTGAGTTTTTCATTTTGACAATTAGATAAAGATTGGTTGCATAGCTCTTAATCCACTGGTAGGAAATATGGAAGAGTTTCGAGGGGACATTGCAATGAAATGGAATTGAGCTAGGGCAGTAGTGCACACCTGGGGCAATTGTGTCCCTAGTAGACATTTGGTAATGTTTGAAGACATTTTTGGTTGTCACCACTGGGAAGCGTGGAGATTGACTATTGGTATCTCCTGAGATACTGATAAAAATTTGGGAAAAAGGCATGGATTCCTCCAGGTAGAGAGTATATGATAAGATTAATGACATATTCCCTAAATATTTATTTTTCCCTGAATCAAAATGACTATCTATCCATGTGTGCATGAATGCATGTTTACATGTATGCATGCATACATATTCATTTTCACTATATTTCTATTCTGTATTTTATTCCTTTCAAATTTGACCAAAAGACCTTACAACAAGTATGTTGGTATTTTGAAAGAAAATTTGTATTTGTCTCCATTTTCTTTATAATCTTTCAACTTTGACCACATACCTATACTGTTTTCTTCAACTGATACATTTTGGGTAGCATCAAAATTATATTCAGTAGTGTGCTTTGGAGAGGAAAAACATACTGTTCCCATTTTCAAGCATGCTGCAATCCTGAATCTACTCCTTACAAAATTCCATGTCAACTTGGATACATGATGTTTTTTTCTCTGTGTGTTTGGGTTATAATACATAACTAATTCTGTTTAATTCTGCTTTTTTCTCTATGTGTTTGGGTTATAATACATAACTCGTGTCACCATCGTGAGACTTAAAAAAAGATAACTTATGCAAATTTCAAAATATAGTGCAAAATAAAGACAGTGGCATATAACAAAATAGTAAGTACATAACAAAACAGTGGTATTGCACTATGATATCTTCAGTAAATACATGTAAGTGTTGTACCCAGTGCCATGTCTCAGTTGCTATCATAATCACCAACATTATTTTCGCTTTCTCCTCTTAGTTGTATCTTACGAGAGCCACATATGATCATTTAAGTCAGAGATGAAAATTCAAATGCCTGCAGGAGACACGCAGCTATCACATAGGCATGATTCAGGCTGAGTGTGAACAGCAGGGAACTAGGGATGTCTGCAATTGGAGAGTGCTTGCCCACTGCAAGAAGGAGGAGAAGGAGGGTGGGGGCAGGGGAGAAGGAGGAGGAAAAGGAGGAGAAGAAGGAGGAGAAAGGAAAGGGAGGGAGGGAAGAGTAGGGGGAGGGAGGGAAAAGGAGGAGGGGAGAAAGAGTGGGAGGAAGGAGAGAAAGAGTGGGAGGAAGGAGAGAAAGAGTGGGAGGGAGGGAAGGGGGGAGGGAGGAAAGAGGAAGAGTGAGGAGGAGAGGGAGAAGGGAAAAGGAGAAGGGAAAAAAGAAGGAAAAGGAGAAGGGGAAAGAGAAGGAAAGGAGAAGGGGAAAGAGAAGGAGGAGAAGGAAGAGGAAGAGAATGAGGAGGAGGAAAAGAAAACCAAAGAGGAGGAGGAAGAAGAGAAGGTGGAGGAGACAGTAAACATGAGGTTCAGGCTGGCCAAACAAAGCCCTTCTGCAGGTTAGCATGGCCCCTTGTGCCTCTCCTGCCCTTGGTCCTAGGGATGCGTTGAAGAGAAAGGGGTAGAATCAGAATCTGTAAGTCTTTAAAAGAAATTTAGACACATCAGATTATTTTGAGTAAAATATATAGAAAACAAATATTGCTGTGTTGATTGCTTTTCAGAGCATATATGTGATGCATCTTATTTTCCTCTATTAAAGACCATGTGCAAGAAAGGGTAATGAGTGGAAATGAAGAAAGACAAACCCATCCTGCCCCACCTAGAGGACAAGTTACTGGTGTAACTTGCTGTTTTAAGGAAACAACATAGGGAGATCACAACTACCTCAAAAGAACTTTTCTGCAAACAAATGTAAGTTATGTTGCATTCATAAGTAACTGAAGCCAAAACCCTACTCAAAAGGGTGATACAAAAAAGGATAATTATTGGCTCATACCAACTCAATGGTCAACCATTAGCCTTGTGTGGGAACTGTATTCTTTACCAAGAATTGTAAGTATTCAATAATCGTTGGTGACAACTGTGCAAGTTTTCCCTGTTGTAAAATTGTAACATAATTTATTCCAATGAAAGAAATCTATAGACATTGCCCTTAACACTGACAGACCAACTGCCTAGAGAAATTATTTTCTGAAACTGCTTCCTAAAACAATTAGTTATTTTATACACACCAGCAATAGGACTAAAAGAAAACAGTATCAGAGATTTTTCAGAGACCGTATCAACAGAAAAAGTGTAAGCTGAAAGTACAAATTAGTTTTCAGAATAAATGTTCAGAATAAATCCTTAGCCAACTGCTACTTTTAATTAGCAAAGCCTTAAAAGCTCACTCATTGACTTAGCAAAATGTCCTCCAGGTTCATCTGTATTGTCACAAGTGGCAGGATTTTCATAACTGAATAATATTCCATTGGGTATATAGATAACATTTTTTAAATCCCTTTATCTGTTGTTGGACACTTGGGCTGTTTTTACATTGTGGTTATTATGAATAATGCTGCTATGAAGATGGGACTGCAGATAGCTCTTCAAGATCCTGGTTTCAATTATTTTAGATATATACTCAGAAGTGGGATTCCTAGATCATATGGTAGTTCTAATTTTGGTTTTTTGAGGAGCCTCCATATGGCTTTCCATAATGGCTGCACCATCTTACATTCCCACCAACAGTGCACAAGGGTTTCAGTTTTTTCATATCCTCACCAACACTTGCTATCATTTTTTTATAATAGCCAACCTAACAAGTGTGAGGTGATATCTCATTATAGTTTCATTTGCATTTGCCTAAGGATTCGTGATGTGGAGCATATTTTAATATACCTGTTGGCCATTTGTATATCTGCTTTGGAAGTGAAATAAGCCTGTCACAGAAGGACAAATAATAATTTGTGATTCCACTTAGATGAGGCATCTAAAATAGTCACACTCATGGAAGCTACTCAGGGGTTGTTAGGACCTGGAGTGGGAAACATGTTCAATGGGTATAAAGTTTCAGTTATGCTAGATAATAAGTTCTAGAGATCTGCACATCAATGATGCCTATAGTTAACAATGTGGTATTGTACACTTCAGAATTCGTTTAGAGGGGAGATCTCATGTTAAGTGCTCTTACCACAAAATTAATCAATCTATCAATCAACACAAGGAAACTTTGGAACATGTTCAGTTTGTCTATGTATTAGTCCATTTTCATGCTGCTGAAAAAGACATACCCAAGACTAGGTAATTTATAAAGAAAAAGAGGTTTAATGGACTCAGTTCCACGTGGCTGGAGAGGCCTCACAATCATGGTGGAAGGTGAAAGGCATGTCTTACATGGTGGCAGGCAAGTGAGAATGAGAACCAAGGGAAAGGGGTTTCCCCTTATAAAACCATCAGATCTCATGAGACTTATTCACTACCACGAGAACAGTATGGGGAAACCTCCCCCATGATTCAATTATCTCTTACCAGGTCCCTCCCACAACACGTGGAAATTATGGGAGCAACAATTCAAGATGAGATTTGAGTGGAGACATAGCCAAACTGTATCAGTTTATTACCTTGATTGCGGTGATTGTATCACAGTTATTTGCAAATGTCCAAACGCATCAGATTATACAGATTAAATATGTGAAGTTATGTGTATATCAATTATACTTCAATAAAGCTGTTAAAAAATAAAAACTAAAATAAAATAGAAAATAAGTTGAAGTCCACCCACTAAAAAAAATTACAGTATAAAACATAGAATTAGGCCAGGCACGGTGGCTCATGCCTGTAATCCCAGCACTTAGGGAGGCCAAGGCGGGAGGATCACGTGAGGCCAGGAGTCCAAGGGCAGCCTGACCAACATGGCGAAACCACAACTCTACTAAAAATACAAAAATTAGCCAGGTGTGGTGCCATGTGCCTGTAGTTCTAGCTACTCAGGAGGCTGAGGCACGAGAATCACTTGAACCCAGGAGGTGGAGGTTGCAGTGAGCCGAGATCATGCTATTGTACTCATGCCTGGGCAACAGAGCAAGACTCTGTCTCAAAGAGAAAAAAAAAAGGTAGAAATAGGAAAAATTTATATAAAATCTAAGGCAAAAAAAGATGCAAATAATTTATTTAAAAATTGATAGTTTGATTTAGCTTTTGTTTCTGAAAAATATAATGCGATATATCCAGAGCAAATAGAGAAAAGCACTTTACACAATAAAGCTTGGATATGTTAAAAGTCACAACTAGACAGTAGAAAAATATTCCATTTAAAAACTGTTAATCTGTATTAAAGGAATTCTGCCAAAAGAGAACTGGGAATCTTTCATGAATTTATAGGCACTGTTTGCCATCCTGATCCAATTTTTCTCTTGTTGAAACTGCTTCATTAATTTAATGTGCAAGAAATAAATATTTGATGTGCAATTAGTTGGAGATTATTATGGCCATAATGGAACCTTTCCAAATAAACAGCTGCTCCAGCACTTTAAATGCATGAAAAGCAAGGCAGAAAATGGAAAATATAATGAAACACTAGCTCTACAGGAAAAAAAGTTAAAATATTCAATTAGTGAGTAAGGCGGCTGCTCATTTAGAAGTTTGGTGGTGGTTTATCAAAGCATAACAGCATAAGAGCTGCTAAACTTTAGCCAAATATCCACCCACCTAAATTTTCATGGAAACATTCACCTGCAGATGTAATACATTCTTCCCTGACAAGAAGAGTGTTAGGAGAATAGACATTGACCAATTCCACCAATTTCTTCATGTGTTTTATTATATATACATAAATGTATATCAATGTATATTTGTTGAGTTTTGATTATTCTATGTTGGCATTTATATATGCACTATAAATATCTATTTGTATATCCACATATGAATTGTAATGATTCCACTTTGAGAGGGAATAATCTGCCTTAAAAGTTTCACATTGACTGGGCTATTTTACGTTTAAGTGAGCTTCTGAGGTTTCATAGCAGGTAGGCAGACCTTGTGAAGGAACTGACACTACTAAGTTAGTTAAACTCCTTGGGAGTTTACAAAATGTTATCTTCCTTTCAAAATGAACTATAAGATTTGGAGTCAGTTGCCTCTCTTATCTACTGCACTGGGAAGCTCCTGAGGGTAGATACCATAGCTAATATCTCAGTATCTCCAAACCCTGATACAGTTTCTGACACAGAGTAGCTCAGAAGTATTCATTGAAAGAATGCCTAAGGCAATTTGCAACACAGATGGGAAAGAGATAGACATCAAAGGGTGAGTATTATGAGCTACACACACACACACACACACACACACACAAAGTTTACTAAAATAGATCAATGTCTCCTATTGAGGTGGGAGCAAAAGGATGCAATCCCATTGGCATTCTCTTCCACTGTGGACGTAATAGCAAAAGGGCAAGAGAGTTCCTGGAATCGTCAGTATTTGGCTTGTAATTACAGATTTGAATATCAAAAATAGTCACTGGGAACTGCTTACAATGACCAATGTTTTGGTATACTTTTCTAGAAAACTGACTTGGGGAAAATGTATTACTTATTGGGGCCCTATTCTATTTTGAGATTCGATTCCGTAATTAATTACATTTTACTCCTCCACTTGCTCTAAAAAACTCATTGGTCCAAGGGAATTCAATGTTTTTAAAAATTATTTCCTCTGCTCCCTGCTGCTTCCATGAGTGAAACACACGCACATATGCACACACATGCTCATATGCGTACTATGGAGAAGCAAATGAAAGAATAAAGGCATTCATGTAACACCATTTTGCCCCAGATTCAGATCCATTCGAATGTGATAGATGGACACAAACTGTCTTGCTGCACATGGAGGTGTACTGTCTTTGATGGCCCTCCCATGAGTAGGTAGGATTAGTGCTTCCTTCCCTGGATTCTGAACACATGCTTACCTACAATGTGTCTAAGAAGGAAGTGATGCTGAAAGTCTCCCAACACGAGGTACTCAAAGATCATATGGCTTCTTCCCAGTGTTTGTGGCATTCTCCCCTAGGGATGCAGGCACCATGCTTTGGAGAAGCCAGGTAGTCATATAGATAGGTCCCACATCACGTCCCCTGCCAGCAGCCACAGCTGAAGTCTCAGGGATAGGCAACAAAATCTCCAGACATGTGAGCCGTCAGGCTCGCAATGATGGAGCCCCCAGCTATCCTCCCAGCAAGCCAGCTGTCACATGGAACAGAGACGAGCTGTGCCCACGGAGACCTGCCCAAATTGCAGATATGTAGGGGGAAAAAAGACCTCTGCTGATTTCAGCCACTAAGTATCATTTGTTATGAAGCAAAACACAACTAAAACACATGTGTGCCAGAATCTGAAACCATTTATTTGATAAACGTATTTTTAGCTTATAACATACCAAAGCTATTCAAATGTGTGGCTTCATTGCTACCCATATCCTGCCATCCCCACATTACACAGTAAGGAGAGGAGATTTAGTAAAAAATATCTTCCTGTGAAGCCAGAGCCTAAGTCACTGCTGCTGCTCAGGAGCTTACATTATAATGGGAGAAAATGGGGACGAATACATAAATTAGTACCATAAAAATAGTACACAGGAGTACTTTCCAAGTTATTCATTCAATGCGTGTGTACGGCACACTACTGAGTCCCAGGAACGTTGCTCTTCATGCTATAAATGCAGCAGGGATAAAAGTGGACAAGAATCCTGCTGTCAGGAATTCTATATCCCCGTGCACATCAATAACCAGTAGACAAGCAAACACACAAGACCCTTTCAGATCAAGAAAAGTGCAGAACACAGCCAGGGCACAGAGTTGAGAGGAATTGTGACCATAGATAGTGAGGGAAACCAGGATCTGTCCCACAAAAGATGCCTCTTTAACATAAAAATTATTTATG